CACGGAGGGCCCACAAGCTACTTTGGGCCTCAGTTTTCCCCTTGTGCCCAGTGCCTGCTTAGACTACACCCTCTCGGGTGCCTTCTGGATCAATTACAGATGTAGATGTATTTTCCAAGGGAGGACAAGTTCTCCAGGAGACTTTTAAAAAGTTTGTGTTATTTTTATGATAATCTAAAAATATAAACGTCAGCATTTTTATAATATATGAACCTGCCCAGGGATGATATGTTTTGTGTTCATGTTTATGACAAGCTGATGCCAAGCAGTGTGACTTAGTGGGCATAATAGGTAGGAGGGGCCTCTGTGACATGCCAAGGCTGGGTGACACAGACAAGTAGGAGAGAATCCCCCCCGACCCCGCCATTGCTCAAAGTACAGGCTATAGCCTGCTGCACACCTGTCTGCCAGGACCCTGCTCCAAACCATGTATGTGTGTTTTAAATTCAGATATAATTCATGTACCACACAATCCACCCTTTTAAAGCGTGCAATTCAGTGATTTTTAATATATTCACAAAGTTGTGCAATCCTCTCCACTATCTAATTCCAGAACATTTTCATCATTCCACGAAGACATCTGAGACCCATTAGCAGTCACTCCCCATTCCCCGCTTCCAGCCCCTGACAACCACTCATCTATTTTCTGTCTGTATGGATTTGCCTCTTCTGGACATGTTCGTTTTTTGACTGCCAATTTAGTTTCAGCAAAAACAAAACAAAGCAAACAAACCAACTAAACAAACAAAAAATCTCTCCCCTTAGAGATATAGAGGAAAAATTGATGAGGGAGAAGGGGAAGAGATTAAACAGTATAAATAGTTAACTACAATATTACCACAGGGATATGAAAGACAGTTTGGGGANACCGAGGAGCATCGTTGAGATTAAAATCACCAGCACGGAATTTCATGAACCATCATTGGTACTGACGTTCTTGTAGAGTATTGTCACTGTAAACTTTATGCAACTTTTCACAAGCTTGACGCGTGTTCTTCCCTTTATGGAAGTAAAACAGTAAAATATGGCAAAAATGCACAATTTGGTCTTCCATCTTCAACTGTTGTAAAATCTCCAAAACTCAACCAAATTGCTCAATTTTTTTTTTTAGAATGAAGCTAGAACTGTCAGCTGTCAAATGACATAGCAATAATATAGATGCAAATGGCTCTAGTACTTCCAAAAATGAACTAGTGCCATCTGTTGCAAACATGCGTCATGACTTTTCCAAAGACCCAATAGTATGCTGACCCCAACAGGGCTTAGACCCTGCCCTCCAGAACCTCCCTAATTAGAGAGGACCAGGAATAAAGCCTGTCCAAGGTCCCCGCCACCAGCTGGTGCCAAGGCCACTGAAGACAGAGCCCCTTCTCGTCTGCTCTCCTGGGTTAACAATACCCGTTCCATAAGCCTTGGCCTGTGGTCTGGGAAGAGGGGTTGGGCAGAGGTGTAGCCCAGCCAGGGCAGTGGCTCTGTACCCCTCTCAGGAAGCCAGTAGCGCCAGACGGCACTCCCAGGTTCATTGCCAACTCACTTTTGGCCATGCCATAATGCATGCTGACTCTTGATGATGCCAGGACAACACAGGGAATAAATCCAGGTCCCTCCCGCTCCTTCAAGGCCCCATTCCTGACCCTGCATTAAAGCGAACAGGCTCCGTGTATGTGGCATCTCTAGTCTGACAGCGAGACAACTGTTTCTTTTTCCTTCCTCATTTGCCATCCTGCCAGCCTTTAAAGCACAAAGGAGGAGCTGGCCTGGAATGGAGGACACCTTGGCCTTGCTCAGGCTCCTGAAGATAGTGGAACAGGAGGGTTTCCACCAGGCTTGTGCTGGCTTGGCAACAGAGTCAGTGAGCTGGGGTGACCAGGCTGGGACAGAAGGTGGGTGAGCAGGAGCCACAGTGCAGGGCAGGGGCTCACCAGGACGGCGATGGCTTCCGGCAGGGGCCCACTGGTCTTGAGGCTTTCCTTGGCATCCTCTACCGCATACTCCCACTCCAGGCCCATTGCAGTGAAGGTCCGGCTTGTGGCTTCCTTGCCCTTGGGGTTGAGGATGAAGCTGCCTGTGACCTGGTTCTTCACAGCTGGCCAGGGAGAGAGGGCACATAGATTTCTGTTCCCCTTCACAGGAGCATGAGCCCAGACTTCCTGGAGGATTNCTGGGAGCGACAGAACAAAGGAAGTAACCAAGGAAGTGACTTCCTTCTGGGAGACGAAGTTAATCGAGAAACCCAGAGGGACTGAATGGACAGAAGGGCAGTACCGGCTGTGGGCAGAGTCTGGCGTGGGCTCCCCGCTGCTCAGGAAGCCCTGCCTGCAGGCGCTGTGTGTCTAGGCTGCAGGGCTGGGAGGAAGCAGGCTCTGCAGGCCTCCTCTGGGGCCAGGGCTGACCAAAGGTCTGCAACACCCCAAGCATGGGATCAGGCTCCTTGTTCCTCCCCCAGGCACTCACTCTGGCTGGGGGCACTGGTGCTGGTTGCAGCGCCGGCGGATGGGCTTGGGCCTCTTTTTGTGGTCACACAGGTGCCGCTGTACCATGTGGTGGTCTCGTCGGCGCCGACAGCCATACTTTGTGAACTGGATACCTATGGAGAGGGCAGGCTGCTGTGGCCTGGTCCGGCCAGACGCCCACTGCCCAGCCCAGGGCCTAGGGGACAGTAAGTTCTGGAGAGCCTGGAGAGCCAATCCCACCTCTCTCTGTGCCTTTGCACTCCCTCCGGCCCAAGTCACTTTCTAAGGAAGACTACCTTGATCAGCCTATTTCATGTGGGTGGGGACCTGGCTCTGGATGGCTGCCTCTCTGCATAGCTGATGATGAGCTTTTATAGTGAATAGGCCCTGCCCTGGATACTGCTCTAGCACTTCAGCTCCATCCCAAAGGCCCTGCCCAGGCAGGCTTCCACACCCCGCAGATGTTCAAGGAGAAAGTGGGGTATAAGCTGGGAACACGTCAAAGGGAGCCAATGTCAGCCCTCTTGCCTCTCCTGCTCCTCTCCTTCTGAGAGGCCCTGGGCTGCCCCCACAGGCAGCTGGATGGCTGGGGCCACGGGCCTGGGCGGGCCAGTACCTCCTCCGCAGGCCTTGGTGCAGGGGGCCCAGCTCTTGAGTGCCCACTCGTAGGTGTCCGTCTCCTCCAGGAGCACATTGTTGCTCCCAATAAGGGGCAGCAGGTCCTCGTGGATGACATACTTGTAGGCCAGGTTGCTGCGGGGGCCTCCCTCAGCTGGGGGGAGCATCTGGGGGAAAATGGAGGAGATGGCATAGGACTGAAGGGCAGAGAGGCAAGGCCAGCTTCAGGGGACAGGGGTGGAGGGGTCAAAGGGAAGGATATGGGGTCAGAAGCAGAACCGGTAAAAGCCAGACAGACAACACCAAGCGTGACCTAAGGAGGCCATTCAGACCAGCAGCCACAAGGCACACTCAGGTTAAGCACCTACTGTGTGTCAGGCCTGAGCACAGCCTGTGTGCTTTCCCCTCCCACAGACCTAAACTCTACCATGGGCAGGAACCACGTTCGTTGGTCTGCCCAGCTCACCAGAGCATCCACACTGCCTGACTCTAGAAGAATACAGACTGGATACTAGACTCTTACCAGATATGATTACAAATCTTTTCTACCATTCTGTAGGGTGTCTTCTTACTTTCTTGATAATGTCCTTTGATGTATAAAAGTTTTCAGTTTTCATGAAGACCAATTTATCTATTTTTTCTTTTG